GGTGGGAAAAAGCAGCTTTACACTGAAACAGGAATCCAGGCTGCCAGGAAAGAACCCTTTAACAAGGGACTCTAGAGACAGCAATTCAGGTGCCTCAGCTATAGGGAACCCCTTTGGCTTGAGTGACCCTGAACCATCTCTGGGAGCTCTGCCATTAGAGGTGTGACCAGGGATCTCTTCGCTTGGCATAGGACACCCTCACCTCACAGGCTGTGTTGCAGCTGCTGACACTGGATTCAGCACCACCTGTGTCACTATAACACTGCCTGTATCTTAAAAATGGCACTGTCCAGAGAAAACTACCCCCCAGAGGCGGGATGCCACTCTTTAAATGCACATTGTCAGTTTGTATGATACTTTAAATGCACAGTATCGGGCCTTCCTAGTGGTGCAAGGGTTAAAGATAGTGCTGTCAAGCTATCACTGCAGCACAAGTTTGATCTCTGGCCAGAGACCTGACCCACATGGCTCAGCAGACCTCTCCTGTCTCCCTGCTGTTCCCCTCAGCAGTGTATTTCAGTAGATCTGCCTGTTCCACCCCCCACTCTCCCTGGAGAATCCTCTCACCCTCCCCCACCTCTGGTCTACACCCCAGTTCTTATATGCATAAATAAATAAATCTTTACAAAAAATACAGTATCATCAATTCAACAAATGAACTCCCACATCTGACACCAAAATTAGACATTAAAAGAGGTCCCCTGGAGTTCAAAATTTTTACAAATAACTTTTACTATTACTTGTTATAGTCTTTGAAGCTTCATATAAACATCTGACTTTTGAAATGAGTGACTCAATTCCCTGATTTCATGACTTCCATCAGGTTTGCCTTGGGAGGAGGGTACGGTCTGACATGAAGTCGTGACTGCTGAGGTCAGCACTGTGTCCATTAAGGCCCTAGTCGGACAGGTGGGCCTGGTGCCCCAGGTAGAAATGCGCCACATACCTCCGGAAGCCCAGGAGGTCCAGAGAGGTGGCCGGGCTGCAGGCTCGGTGCAGCTGCCACGCATTGCTCACAGCGGCATCGATCATGTAGTTCACCAGAACTGAGTACCACTTCCTGCTCCTTATTCTCACCTTGTATTTGGAGACAGTTTGCTCCATTTTAGCGACCCCTTCCCTGCATTCGCCATACAGTGTTGCTATGGCTGGCCGACTTATCGGAGGGGCCTCTATGTCCTCGGTGACGCCACTGACCTCACTGACAGGCTCTATGCCCACAGCATTGGAGCACAGGCTGACAACGCCATCGCCGTGCCATCGACACACGATTATCTCATTGTTTTCTTCCACTTGGAAATCAAAGTAGCCCTTCTCCATGTTTTTCATTTGTTCTGCATCCATGAGGGGGCACTTTTCAGTCCTGTTCTCTTGAATTATTCCTGTTGCCTTCACCCCTTTCTTCTTCAAGATTGACACCAATTTGACACTTGTGAAGAAGCTATCAAAACACAGGTGATAAGAATACTGACCTCTCTCCAAAAGAACGTCGGCGAAATTCATCACTAGGTGGCCACCCAAACCGAGCTCAGGATCCTGGTTTGCCATCAGAGCTGATTCTTCCTGGTAGGGCTCAAACCAAACAAGATAACCCTGTGTGGTTGTGCCACACCAAATTTTATAGCCAATTCGAATCGGTTTCCCATTCAGGAATTGGCCACTATCAAAGCATTCACACATTGTCTTGTCCAAACAATAGTATTCTTCTAGGGGGGCATACAGGAGAAAGTTTTTATTCATTTGCTTTATGAGGGGCCTCAATTTCGTAAACTTATCTTTTTGATCTAGGCAGCTGTTATCTGCAAAATGCAGGTATGACAAAATCAATTCAAACCTGTCCCTTCTAATTGCATCTCTCACCTGGTTCTGCTCAGCGTCAGCCACTTCCCAATACATTCCCCTCCGGGGATGCCGCACAACTCCACTCCACAGCAAGACACCGAACACACACCTCATCTCCTGCACTGTGACTTCCAAGTTGACATTTTTCTGAAAAGCGTAATTATTGGTTTCACTGACAATCAAGTTGAATGTTTCATCATCAAAAAATAACTCAAAGAGCTCTACTGGGCTCAGCTTTTCACTCTTGAGATTCAAAAGCCCTGTGTCCAGTGCTGACCAGCCGGGAAGGGTGGCCTTGATGTCTCTCTTGACCCAGCACTGCTCCAGGGCGGCTGCCATCTTTCGCTTTTTGTGAGCTGGCTGGCTCTCGGGCGAGTGCTCTTCCTCCACCTCTGAGTCGTCAGAAAACGCCAGGCCTTGCAGCAGCTCACTCACCCGAGCTTTGTCTTTTCTCCTCTCTTTTCGGGTAATGTCTCCTGCAGCGTATTCCAAGGATGAGACATGCATCCGGGCCCACAAGTCCCCCTGGTGACGACCCCTCAGAGTGTTCACTTGTGCAGGTGTCCTCTCTGGAGGGACAGGAGTGCTGCCAGGAACTTGGGGTACACATTCTCTAGGGAGGAGAGAACACAAGCACAAAATTCCTCAGTCTCATTTGCCAGTGAATGATAAACCCATGACACTGAAGGATGCTTTGGTTTACTCAGGATTACCTTTCAGTCACGTTTCCATGGGGAGGGCTTTGGCCAGACCTTATATCCCTGGCCGCCCCCCACCTCCACTCCTCGTGGCTGAACTAGGTGCTGAATCTGAGAGACGGAACAGCATCTTAAGGGCAGGAGTTCCTATTGTCCTTTTAGGAGCAAGTTCCCGACATTCACTGCTCCTCTTTGCCTCACATCCTGTCACACAGGCCTGTGCTGAGGGAGGTCGGCTTCATTCCTCTGCCACTGTGAGCCACGCACCTCCACCAGGTGTAGCTTGGGCTCCCAGAACCATGTTTCACTTCTGTGTCTCTATCAGTTGGTTCTGAACTTGAACAAAGAGGCTGTTATTTACTGGGCCCCCTCACCCCTCCCACAGAATGGGGAATGTGGAAGGATTTAGTTTCTCCTAGTTTTAATTCATCTAGGGGACACACTATTCTGAGGAGAAACAAAAGACGAATTCAGATTTGCTGCCCTTGAACCGATTTTTATGAGGTTTACAAGGAAGCAAGCTGAAATGACTAAGGTGGAAAGTGCTATTTTACACAATCCTCTATTAATTCTAGAAACTGGCATTTCATTGACTAACATCCTAGCGATAAATGGTCTAGATTCAGAAGCAGAAAGAGAAAGAAAAGCAGTGAAGCAATGTTTTTAATATGATTTACTGCTTTAATGTGATTTTCTGTATATAGTTTTTTTCCTTCTCACTGAAGCATTTATCACCCCAGGTACCTTCAGTGTCTGCATGAATGACCTGCTCAGTGTCATAGCAGCTCTCTCTCATCCTGCCCAGGGAAAAGATGTCGGACAACAGGTTCCTCTGGCTCCTTACATTTGTAGAGTCTGCTCCACTTAGCACCAAGGACACTCACCTGGTGAATGTTCCTGAGCCCTCAGCACCTTGCTCCATTTCTTCAGAAGTTTCTTGCTTTGCATTGAACAATCCACCTTCAGTTACAACTTCTTCAGCTAAAATAACACATTAATAATTTAAATGTCATATGTTACCTGAATTTAGAAAAAACAATCTCCAGGGTGAAAAAATGGGATGTTCCTATTTAAACAAACAAATAATTGACAGGTGTCCTAGGAGTCTCAGCCACTGTGTAATGCGCAGTGTGGGAAGCCAGTGAGGAAAGTCCCTTGGCTGGGAGACGGTCTCATGGGACAAAGCATATTTACAGTAAAGTACACATGGCCAGCAGTGTCTCCCAGAGTGAGAAGTTCCTCTGAGGTAAAGGAGTCAGACAGAGGAGTCCTTGGGGCTTCCAGGCATGGAGATGTCTGAAGGTGACAAGTCACAGGGCACCTTTGATGGGGAGAAAAACAGGAGCAAAGGAGAAGTCGTTGAGGAACCCAGGGAGTATGGAGGTGACCACAGAAGACAAGAATAAGCTGAGTAAAACCAGCACCAGAGGAAGATAATGTGACTGGAAGGTGCGCAAAATGGCAGGGGCTGAAGACCCTGGGGACAAGGATGGGAGGGTAAGGTCTCAGGAAACGTGAGCTCACAAGGGCCGAGTCATGCTGCTGACAAGAAAGGCGAGTGCTGGCAAGGGGCTGGGAGAGGCCTGTCCTTACACATCAGACTGGGTTCTGCAAGCTTCTCCCAGGCTGAGCTCCCACAGAGGTTCCTCTGAGGCAGGCTCAGGTGTGGCCGCTCCTCTGGGACAAAGGCATTTTCCTCCTCAGTCTTTACTGATATCTGAAAAGGAAGAAAGCAGCCTCTCAGGTTTGCTGTGGTCAGCAGAAGAGGTCTGGCAGTGAAGGGCATTGAAGACCACACTGCAGACCAGCAGTACCAACCCCTCAGGCCTAGGGGAGGATCATTCTCGCATCTCTTCCAGCTTCTGGGGGCTGTCAACAGTCCTTAATGTCCCTCAGCTCATGGATGCATCACCCTACCCTCCCTCCATTGTCACACAGCCACCTCTCTGGGTCACTCTGTCTCCACGGGGCCTTCTCATAAGGCCACCCTCCTAATGCAGCATGACCTCACTTTAATGTGATTACACAGTCTGTTTCCAAGTCACATCACACTCACAAGTACCTGGCCAAGGAGTCCAACGTGTCTTTTGAGTTCGACCCACATCTTCAGCTTAGTCCTATTTCAATTAAGGTTATTTCCCTTTTTCTGTCTCGTTGTTTATTATTTGATGCAACACTAGTTTTCACCCTAATGTTCACCAAAACCTCTCCCTTTCATTTCCCAGACTTCTCTCATCTTCTTATTCCTCCACAATTCAAGCTTATAGATTGTGTATTAGTACACACTACTTTATCATCACATCTGGTGTAATCGTGTCCAAACTCATTTGGAAACACATGCTACTTTAGTAAAAAAATTACTTCTTCTTTGTTTCTCTATTATATCAGACAATGATACAGATTATAAAATATGTATAAGCAAGGTTTACTTTCTATAGGTGTCTGTATGGAATGGGAAAGTATTTAAAAACAGGAAACTCTGGGCCTGACAGGATTAAGAACCAACTAGAAGCCACAGAAAAAGACTGAGCAAGGAGACAAAACTGACTTAGCAGCAGATTGAGGGGGACTTAATTTTCTAAAGCTAAATGTCAAGGAAAATGATCAGATCATCATTTAGAGAATATGGGAGGAAAAAAACTATAGTCCATTTTGAGAGGAGGATGTGAAGTTTTGTGTTGGATACACGGAATTTTCCTTGTCATCACCAAATAGTCAGTGGTTGTGTGCAGGACAGTGAGGTATAAGAGTGTGTGGGAGAGGCTGGTTCTTAGCTGGGGAGAGAAACCAGAGATATTCAGAGCATTGGGCAAGTGAAGATGCTTTTCAAGCCAAGTGCCTAACTCCTGGACAGGATATGCCCTCAAGCACACATGGAATGAGGTGGTGGCGTCTAACCAGCACCAGCATCTTGGATGAGGCACATGATGTTGGTGCTGTTCTGTGACAAGGGGAAGGCAGAGGGACTATGCCACCAGAGGGCTCCCAGGGGCGAGGCATGCGAGCCTAGCAGGGCAGGAGCAGGAGGCCAGGGAATGGGGGGCCGCTGCTGAGGTTCCCGAAGGCCTGGGCATGCTGCTCACCTGGCACCTGGCTGAGTTAAACCCAGGTACTGCTGCCTTGTCTCGGGCACTTTCTTCCTGGCGAGGGGCTGATCCCGGGGAAACAGGCCCTGAAGAGGGAGGAGACAAGAGTCCTGAGTGAGACATCACAGCCCTTAGGAATGCCCCTTGTGGGAAACCCACCCCAAACCTTTTTGTGCTTGTTAAACATCCACAAAGTAGGATAAGGGCCTTGTCTCAGGGCGTCTCTCCGGAACCTACCATTCTTAGCCTCAGGGTCCCCCACTCACAATACTGAGTGGCATTTATACCCTCAAGGGAACTTCACATGTTGTAGAGATTTTAAATCATAGATGAAAATAGAGAGGGAGGAAGGAGCTGTAATTAAAAAAAAGATTAAGCAGAGCACACAGAGATGAAAGAAGTGAGAGACCAAAAGACGAGAGAGAAGGGAAACAAGAAGCAGAAAAGAGGAAGGTAAAAGAGAAAGACATTGAAAAACAGAATTGGCGGAGGGGGGAGGCTGTGCACGAGGGGAGGTGGGGGCATGTGGGAAATTGCTGTACCTTCCCCTCCATTTTGCTGAAGTTTTGTGTTGGATACTTGGAGGAGCCAAAACACTCACTAGCATCATTTATTCACTGAGCATCAGCTATATGTGCAAAGTATACCTGGGAAAAGCAGGGAGATGCAGTGTTCGCTCTCAATGGGTTGACAGGTGAACCGGGAAAAGAGAATGCAGATAAAAACTGGACTTGATGTCAAAGAACTGAGTTACAATAATGGCTGTGGGGCCTCCCTGGTGGTGCAGTGGGTTGATCACAGCGCTATGAAGCTATGTGCAGCCTCTGCAGCGCCAGTTCGATTCCCAGCCAGCCAGGGAGATACCCACATGGTGCAGCAGACCTCTCCTGTCTCGCCCGCTGCTCCCCTCAGCAGCACTTTTGGTCCTTCTGCCTGTTCTGCAACCAGCTCTTTCTCTAGTGAATCCTCTCACCCTCCCGCACCTCTGACCTGTTACCAGCCCTTGTATAAATACATAAATAAATCTTTTAAAAAAATACAATAATGGCTGTGACACTGGGCCCATCACCATTTTGATAAGCCTCCAATTCCTTATCTGTACAGTGGGAGAACAGAGCCTCTTTTGGGGTTGGTGAAGAGTAGGTGAAATCAAAACCACAAAGCCCTCTGTAAACGGCAATTCAGTGTTATTTTTCAAGATGGGCAATAACATAAGGAGCATAAAATTACCAAGTGAAGAGGGTAGGTGAGCATTCTACCCCAAAATAGCAGAGCATAGTGTCACTTTGCTTTGCTCCAAGACACAATGGAGCGCTGTAGAATCTGTTGCTGTTGTTTCAAATCTAAAGTGAATACAGCTTGCTAGAAAAGCCACCTCCTCGCTGATTCACTGTTATTACCTCACCATAAATGCCAAGCCCGACAGCTGAAAGAGCACGAGGTAAAGCAGTCTGCTGACATGACAGAGAAAGGGCTAAGTTAAACAGAGGAAGGACAGCAACAGAAAGAGGAGAAGACAAAGACAATGCAGCAAGGAAAGAAGTCAACGCCAAGGAGATTTGGAGACAGCAAAGGTCAGGTCAGACTCTGCTTCTTCTCTCCCTGAGGTGGAAAAACACTGGGAACCTGGGGAAGAGCAGAGGAATGTTTTCAGACATGAAAGGTTATTGCCAAGTGCTCGACATATCTGCCAGTGACGGGACAGAAGATGGGCTTCAGCTGCAACTAATCAGATGGCACCTCAAGGTGCCTTCCACTTCTCCATCAACATATCTAAACATTTAATAATGTGTCACTCTAGGAATCCATCACAGTTGAGCATTAAGGGACTGACAAAAGTCCTCAACAGTGTCCACTTCAAATCCAGTGTTTCGGGCCTCCCCAGTGGCGCAGCGGTAGTGCGTTGGGTTGCGAAGTTGCTGCAGCCTCTGCAGAGCTGGTTCGATTCCCGGCTGCTCCCCGGCCACCAGGAGGAGGGTCCCACATGGTGCGCAGACCTCTCCTGCCGCCCGCTGCTTCCCTCAGCAGTGTGCTTCGGTCCTTCTGCCTGCTCTGCTCCCCACTCTGGCTCTGGTGAATTCTCTCACCCTCCGCGCTTCTGACTATACCCAGTGCTTGTATACATAAATAAAAATAAATCTTTAAAAAAAAAAATAAATCCAGTGTTTCATGCTAGGTTGACAGTGTATATCCACACAAGGGGGAGGGCAGCACAGTACTGAATGAGCACCATTTTCCTCGCCCCCCTCCCAGGCAGCCAGTGGCCTTGACAGTCTGGTCCCAGTATGCCAGGAAATGGACTTGCTGATGGGGAAGAGCTCATGGGAACTGGGGTGGAGTTATGTGCTCAGTACATAAATGAACACACTTGGCTTTGGGCAGTCTGGCTCCCACAGCCCTAACTTGCACACTGGTGCTGCCAGGAAGGAAACCTGAAAGAAGCAGCGTGGAGGAGACACTCATGGGCAAGAGGCGACAATGGCAGCCGTTATCTTAATGTGGTATCTCCTGTCCCAGCTCTCCATGGCTTGCCTAAATCTCTTCTTGTGGTTCCCACCAGACAGTGCCTTAGATGTGTGCCAAGCTCTCATGCCTCAGCAGCAGGGAATCAGCAGCACAGATGAGGAACAGAAGAGGCTTTGAGAACAGAGAACTGCAGATTCAGGCTGACCCTGTCTGGCTGGGCATTTGCTCACGAGGAAATGGGTAACTCTGGGAATTTAATGGGGGAACAATTATTAGGAAAATCCTTTCTTCTCTATGCACACCAGTTCTACTAAAGATCTTTCACACTGACAGTCTGCTTTCTCTGCCTTTGTGCACACAGATGGCGAGATCCCTTTCAGTGCCTGCACCCCTTAAGTTTGCAGTTCCTGGGCACCCCTCAGTCATGCTCTAACAAGAGGAGAATGATTCACCACACTACAATCACTTAAATCTTATTCTCATTGAAAAGAAAAGCTTCAGTGGCACCGGAATTTTTAATGACAAAATCCAAGCTTTCTGGTTCAAATGTAAAGACCTTCACAAAAAGTCCCCAGCCTTCCTCCCCACCCCCTTCCTTATTCTCTCTCTCAATCTCTCTCTCTCTCTCATTTCCTAAACCCTCCAGCCATGCTCAATGACTCACTGTCCAGCAAAAATACCAGCATGAGGAGGTGATGCAGATAGCCTGGGAAACTGATCTTCAGTTCACCTGGTCTCAGGTTACCCTGAGAAATGTGCTGGGGTTATAATTAATAGGCAGGCCCTTAGCCAGAGTCTCTAGAATATTTGGGAGGAAATAAGAAGTTATAAAAAGCCCTTGAGAATGACAAGGCAAGCTTCCTTGGGGACTAGAACGCATTCTCAGCCTCATCACACATACTGCGACAGACAGTGGTGCATTCCGAGAGGGCTTAGAAGACCAAGGGGAGCCCCCTGCCCAGGAGGATGCTGCCAGAGTCCCGCTCTCTGCGTCATCTCATGAGGTGTCATAACCCTTCACCTTCATTAAAGAACCTTATATCCTGTGACTGCTGTTCTCTGCCCATTACCATCCCCATTCCGATGACCACTCACTGCCATTCTTAACACCCTTGCTCCCTCCAGTCACAATGAAATGAAACTGATTTCAGAAGATGTATATTCATCATCCCACAGGTAAGTGGGGATGCATCTTGCTTCTGTTCCACTGGAAATTCTTTCACCCTCCCTACTGGCTCACCCCTCCAGGGCTCCAGGACTCCCTACCACTTTGAGACTTCTTCACATGCACAATGTATCTGAAGCTTCATGGTGGTTGTGGTTGTGGTTTTTTATAAGTTAAATAAGACAGAACTGTCAGCCAAGGAAGCAGGGAAACACCAATGCTGTAAAGGGTAAACAGCTCAAGTAATCTGTACTCTAGGCATTTTACTTTGTGATTTTATTATATGAACCATTTATTCCACACTTAGTCAAATATTCATATTGACCAATCACCACTGTGGTAACTGTGGTAAATCTTATAAATGCTCTGACATTGCGGGCATAATTTTGTACTTGAATTTTCCAGGGAGAGAGAGAAACTCGTTCTCAACAAATTCTGGGAAGAAAATGGTAACACCCTTCCTCACAAAGGTTAAAAAATACTACACTGTGGTTTTCTAAGGGCTTTATGAGCTTTCTGTGCATAGTTGGCCCTTGAACAACTTGAGTTTGCACTGGTAAGGAACCAGTGATATTTGGATTTTCTTTTAAACAGAAGATGTATACTTAGAGTGTTGGTAAATCCAACACAGTACTGTATATATATTCCTTCTTCCTTGGGATTTCCTTAATAACATTTTTTTCCCCTCTAGCTTCCTTTACTGTAAGAATTTAGTCAACAATCCATATAACATACAAAATATGTGTCAATGGTCTGTATGCTATTGGGAAGGTTTCCAGTCAGCAGCAGGCTATTATGAGTTAAGCTTTGGGGGGAGTCAAAAGTTTTATTTAAAATTTTGACTCTGTGGGGGTCAGTGCCCCAACCATCACTGTTCAGAGGCCAACGGTACTTCTGTCTGTCTGCTCAATCCATCTGCAGCCTGTGGGCCACAGACCTTGCAATTCTTGGATGGCTAATCCTATGCCAAGGCCTGCTGAGCTGAAATATAACTGCAGGGGGAGGTTTACCTGGAGCTCTGTGAAGCCTGACATGGAAGCGAGAGCCCTGACACAGGAAGGCATGTTCCACACGGAGGGGAGGGGACCTGCAAAACCTAAAGCTGCACCTAAAATGACTGAAAGGTTAGAGGCCCAGCAGAGAGTCAATAAAATGTTACCAATGAGGGTTAAATAAATTTGTGGGAAGCTATTAAGTAAAACACCCAAAAGCATAGAATTAGCAACGTGGGCCAGAGAAAGGATGCAGGTCAGAAAGTTGTGTGACCCAAGTTCTAAGTTGCTCTGCCTGTGTTGACCCTGGGCAAGCCACCTGGACTCTGAATTTTGGTTTCCTAGCCTATGAATTGAGAGTGTTAGACAAGAAGATCTTAGAATTCTAACATTTTACAGTGAAAGGTTTTTAAAAGACTGCTTCAATGTGACATTAGACAAAGTCATACGTAAAACTGAGGCCACAGATAGACATGTTTTTCCTAAGGAAGACAGCGCACCTGTCAGGGCCCGCTGCCAATGTCCTCAGGAAGCGCTCACTCTGGCACTCACCACTCACTTCTTGAGGGCTCCTTCTGGAGAGTTCTGGAGGTTCACACTTCAGGGTGCTCACTCCAGGCAGGAGCTGTATGCGCTGATGCTCCAAACAGGCTCCTAGATATTCCTGTCCCCGAGCAAAGGCAGAGGCCTAGGGACAAAAAATTCATTTTGAAAAGGCATCTGGTGGGACCTGGACTGAACAGCAGTTAGGGACACACTCAGGGAAAACTGGGCAAGGCCTAGTGAATGCTTATAAGAAGCAGACGGCAAGCCAGTCACTTATTCAACAAGTACGGAGGGAACACTAACTCAACCAGGGTCTGTTCTATGTGCTGGGGATCGATGGCAAATGACGGAGATAAGACAGGCAAAGAATCTCTGCCCAGAAAAACAAAACAAAAACCATGCTGAAACTCGTGGGCGGGGGCTTAAAGGGGAACAGGATATATGCAAGGTCTCAAAATGTCTCCCACAAATTTCCTATTAATTACAAAGTGGGGAAAGGTAACTTCACAGCAGAGAAATCTAACAGTCACCCCCTTCACCTCACCCTGTGTCTCCTGACGGGATGCCTATCTATGTGAAATGCACACCCAGCTCTTTCATGAGAAAATGTAAGACAGACTCAAATTGAGGGGCTTTCTGTAAAATTACTAGTCTGTACTTTTCAAAATATCAATGTCAGGACAAAGAAAGACTGAGCGACAGTTAAAGATTCCAGGAGACTACCCAGACTCAGCAACTGTGATGTGATTTATAATAGAAATAAATGTTTGGTCCTATCTCATTTCTGGCACAGAGCTCCTAAAACCCTCTGACCATCCTAAGTAAAGAGAATGATTGTATTACACTGATGAAGTGACCTGGCCAATGGGGTGCCTACAGGACTGCCCCTGAGGATGGGAACTGGAGAATAAACCATGTGATTAGAGGCTGGGATTTCCAGTCCCCCCTGATCTCTGGGGAGGGGAGGGACTGGAGGTCACATCCATTCTCAAAGGTCAGTGAGTTAATCAGCCATGTCTTCAGTGAATTCTACGTAAAAACCCAAAGGGGCAGGGTTCAGGGTACTTTTGGGCTGGTGAAAAGGTGGAGATGTGGGGAAGAGTCGCTCTTGTGGAGGGCATGCAAACTCCAGCCCCTGCCCATATACCATGCTGCCGCATCTCCTCCATCTGGATGTTTACCTGTCTCCTTATTCAGATTCTTTTCTAATAAACCAGTAAATTGGTAAATAAAATGCTTGAGTGGTGTAAGCCCCTCTAGCAAGTTAATCGAACTCAAGGGATCACTGGCTCTTCCAATGTACAGCCAGTAAAGCAGAAGCACAGTGCGAGCCTGAGCTTGTGACTGGCCCCTGAAGTAGGGTGAGGGGGGCAGTCTTGTGGGACTGAGCTCTCCACCTGTGAGGCTGATGCTGTCTCCAGGGTAATCGTGTCAGAACTCAGCTTAACTGCAGGATGCCCAGCTGGTGCTAGAGACTCTGCCATTGCTGTGGGGACACCCCACTTCCTCCCACAGATAGGGCTGGCTGAGCAGAACTGAAATGACCGCTAGATGCACCATGTGATGCCTGCCTGTATCCAGGCTGGATTGGGGGAAACTATCCTAACACTATTGGGGTGATAAGGCAAACTATGAATGAGAACTACTGATTAGGTGATAGTATCATGATAATTTGAACTTACCCAAAGAAGGACAATTCAAGTGAAGCTCCTTTTTCTTTGGAAATATATTGGAGGGTTTAGAGGCTAAGGGGCACATCTGCAAGAGCACTCACACACACTCACACGCACACATTCAGAGAATGAGCTCCTACAAGAGTGGGGCACATCATGAAACCAATGCTAACAACTGGTGAATCTGGATGACAGGCCCAATACTCTGCAAGCTACGAATTATTTCAAAATAAAAAGTTAAAAATGAGGGGTCTCCCTGGTGGTGCAAGGGTTTAAGATGCAGCACCACGCAGCTATCCACAGCCACTGCAGCATGGTTCGATCCCCAGCCAGGGATGTGACTCACATGTCTCTCCTGTCTCCCCGCTGCTCCCCTCAGCAGTGTATTTCAGTCAATTCATCTGTTCTGTTCCCCACTCTGTCTCTGGTGGTTCCTCTCACCCCCCACACATCTGGCTTGTACCCCAGTTCTTGTATGCATATTTTTTTTAAAAAGTTAAATATGAACCAACAAATACACACACACACACTTCCCACCTGCTGTGCTTTGTCTCCCATGTCTGTCTCTAGAGTCTCTAGTGCCATCACTACCTCCTGCCCACTCTCCAGAGGGTACTCGGGCACCCAGGCCTGCAGCTCCCCAGGCAGGATGCTCAGGAACTGCTCCAGCACCAGCAGCTCCAGGATCTGCTCCTTGGTGTGGGTGTCGGGCCGCAGCCACTGGCAGCACAGTTCTTGGAGTTGAGCTAAAGCTTCACGGGGCCCAGTGACCTCCTGGTAGCAGAAATGCCGGAAGCGCAGGCGGCAAAGCTCGCGAGTGTGGGCACTGCTGCCCCATGAACTGGGCACCTGCTCCCACGCGGGGTCTTCCTCCTTCACCTTCACAAGACCTTCTGCATTTCCAGGAGGAGCGCCTGTGAAAGCTTCCATGTTGAGCTTAAAGGTTGGGAAAAGATCCACTTAGCCAGGGTCCATTATTCACAAAGATTTTTCCAAATGTACATTTGAGGCATAAGCATTGATAAGTAACATGAAAATTTTAAGAGCTGCAAAACTCAAAATAATTTATTTATATTTTTGTCCCCACTGTAAGTCAGGCTCAAAACTAAGCTGGCTTGCTTATGTCATCAGTAAGCAGAAATATACCTTGAACCTTGAGGGGGCTGAACACAGGGGTAGAGGGTGTCAGGTTAGGAATATGAGGGGAGAGGGTTAAGCATGAGAATGCGTGAGTACCTTAACTGTAGCTAATTTTACCAATGGTGGAACAGATGTGTGGCTTCATGGGCAGACAATGCATTCTCCAAGGTTATCGATCTCTGTGTACCACTGAATACTCTACTTTCAGGGCAGCGGGGTAAGTGGTTTCTTAAGTCTCTCCTCCCCATATATCTTTTGTGATGAGACTTTGCCATCCTTCTCAAGAGGTGGAGTCTATTTTCCCTTCCCTTGAATTTGTGCTGACCTATGACTTCCGTTGACCAACAGAATACGGCATTGATGACACTGTGAGCAGAAGTGCTCTTGTAGTTCTTGGCATGGTCATGAAACTGCCATGCTGAGAGGAGCCCAAACTAGCCATGGGGAGAGGTCAGGTGGATGAAGCCAGCTACCCCAGGGAAGGCCCAGGGGAGTCCAGTCCCCAGTTGATTCGTTGAATGAATGAACCATAGGAGTGGCTCCAGGCAAGACCACCAGTAGAACTGCCACAGAATCACAAGAAATGACCAACCCACAGAAGCATAAGAAATAATAAGCTGAAGTTATTTTAAGCCACTCTTGGGGGTTTTAATTAATCTTTTTTAATGTAACAATAGATAACTGAAACAGTGGGCAGGCTTCAAGTTCTTGTCTCTTTCTCTCCTTTTGTGATCTCACTAATCACTGCATCACTATATATGGCTATTCCAGAGACACTCAAATCTCTGACTGGCTCAGTCTTGCCTCTCACATTTCAGACTCATATTGTGAAATGACCGCAGGAGCCTCAAGCTCTGATTTCTCCTGCACCATAATTTCAACACGCCACAAGCTGAAATTAGAGCTCCCACAAAGCTGGACTCACTCTGTATATCTCCGCGTATGTGGTGGCATCACTAGCAACTGCCATGCACTCAGGCTTAAAACCAGACCCATCTGTAATCTGAGACTAGCCAATTCCTCCTCTAAAAATGCCTCATACAGCCAGCCCTTCCTCCTCCTCCCGGCCCCATTACCATTCCACCTGCGCATTACAACCATTTTCTGTGTGGTTTCCTTCCCCATTCTATCATCGCTGAATTAACATTTCCTAAAGCACAACTAGGACCATATACAAACATACCTCCCCCGACCCTCAGGGGGTTTCAACTGCTCCCGGCTGAAGTAAATTCAACCGCCATCCCCCACCCCCAACAAATCTCTCTGAATTTTACCGGTTGGTTTGGCACTCAAACATTTACTGAGGAAGTCATTATTTTCTAGGCATAATACAAACCCCGGAATAAGAAGAAATGACATCTAGTCCCGGCTACTTTTGAGAAAGCCACGGTCTCCCCAAATTCCTCTCATCCCCGCCTTGCGGACAATTCGTTTTTTTCCCACCTACTTTCTACTTTATAGCCAAGAGCGCCCGACTAACCGAGAAAATTCCCAAGGCCCAGAGCAAATGCCACCCCAGCCCTCAGCTACAGGGAGAAAACGACTGTCCTCAGGCGCGCAGCCCAGACCGGCCGCACCCGCACGGCTCCCTCAGCACCTGCCACCACAGATCACGCCCCGTCCACCGCCACCCCTGCTGTCTGAGCCCGGAGCCCGGCACGCACCGGGCCACGCGCCGAAGCAGAACGAGATGTGCAGGAAGCCGCCGGCTGCCAGGACACGACCCACAGCACCCCCGAGGCGAGGGCGCGGCACACAGGACGCTCACTAAGTGTTGGTTCCGCAGACCCAAAAGTCAGGAAACGTTCAGGACAAAGCCTGGCCCGACTCCCTGAGCGATCCCCACGCGAGCCCGGGAGCCTGAGCGTCCACCCGCGAGCCCAGGGCCGCCTGGCACCGCCGGACCCCGCGCCTCTCGGGGCTGCGGGTCAGCGAGCGCTTCCGGCCGCCGAGCCGGGGTCAGGGCTTCTCCTCCCTCCGCGCGGGCAGTAGAGTCGCGCGTCCTCTCTAGGAACTGGCCGCGCGTCTCACTGGTGCGCGGGAGCGACCCCACCCTCGCTTCCCGCGGCCACCGAGCCTCCCGCGCGCAGCCGTTCCTCACCAGCGGGCCCGTCCCGGCTTTGTGGACAGCATTTCTATTAAACCCCCGAGCAGACGGTGACGACGAACCGACACTCTGTCTTTGATACAGTTAACAAGTTTGTCTTTCCCCCATTTTTTGCAATTCCCCTTATCTAGCATTAACAGGATTGATGACTTGTCTTTCCCATTTGTTGCAGCTTCCCCTCCCCTTGGGAAGAAAAAAAAGCTGGCGCCCACCGGTTTCCCTGTAGACCCTTCCCCCTCGCCCTAAGGAAAACAAGTTGGCGATCACCCGTCTCTGTGCCTTGACACCTTCCCCTTCCCTTAAGATGAATGAGCTGACCCCCATCCATGTCCCTGTTGAGCTGGCGCCCACTTGTCTCTGGGCGGACCCCTTCCCCTCCCCTTCGCGGATGCCTACCCATCTCCCCCTGTATAAATACCCCTGCCCACTGCCAAAGAGCAGGACGGTGGTTTTTCGGACATGAGTCTGCCGCCCTCCTCATTTGTCGACAAATAAAACCGCTTTCCTTTTCCTCAAACTTAGTTTCCTTTTATTGGCTGAGGGAAACTGAGGCCGGCGTTCGGTAACAATTTTGGCGAGCCAGCCAGGAGGTGGATGCTACTTCGGCTCTCCCAACCCCAACTCTGACTTCCAACTGACGGAGCTGTTGCCTGCTGCTGTGCACCAGGGCTCACCTATCTATGCTGGTCTGTGCTGTCAGAGAGGGGCCTGGCATCCCGGGTGGCATCCTGACCCTCCTGCTGAGAGGGAGCGCCCTCTCTCCAGGAGGATGAGGGAGAGTCCCAGCAGCTGCCGGAGTTCTTTTTCCTCCGGGGAACTTCCCAAGTCCTCCTCGGGAGAGGCACAGCTCTTCTCTGCACCCTGGATTTACCTTTGAGGAGATGGAAACTGGATGGAAAACCGCGGTCCCCTGGCGTTTGGTGTAAGTTCCCCTGGCGTGCACGCCAAGACCTTGGCCTTCACACATTCGGGAGGAATCTGAGTCCCCTCGCGGAGGGAGTTCAGGTCTCCTCATTTGGGAGGGAGTCTATGAGTCTCCCTCAATTTGGAGCGCTCTTTGGTGTGTTAGGCCCGGTTGAGTGGGAATTGGGAAACATTTGGTGTTTTTGTCACTTGATATCTATTTGGTATTTGGTATTTGGAGTTTCCCGTTTGTTTTTGGAAGCCAGGGATTTAGTTAAACTTATGAGAGGTGCCGTATTGTTCCATCTAAAAGCCCCTTGGGGAAAATATTAACTGAGTGGTCGACCTGTAGCTACAAACCTATGTCTAAGAAGCAACCCCTATCACGGTTTCCCTGCAGGAGCCCAGGAAAAACTGATTGTGGGGAACAGACTGATTTTTTTTTTTAGCACAAGAGCCAGGCAATATACTCTCCTTTTCCACTTTGGCTGGCTCACCTGTGAGCTCCTTTTATCTATGCTCTGCTAAAATCTTACCCTGACATTCAGTGTCAGTCCAGATGCTTTGGCTTTAGGCAACCTAAGATTATTCTGACTCTTCTAGGACATTGGCAGATGGCTGGAAGGACTGTAATTGTTCCAGAGAGAAAACTGGGCTTGGATCAGGACTTCTACTTGATGTTGTTTTTGGAGTTAGTGGGTCTGGAGTGCGGGGTCTTTGGGTTCACTATGGGAAAGGTGTTGCCAGAGCTCCTGTTTCAGGGACCTGCAGCAAGCTTCCCAGGCCAGTTTCTCCATGAGACAGAGACATTAGTTATATTGAAAGGGCAGGTTTATTAGGGAAAGGGGACAAGGAAAGTAAAGGAGACACAAGCGGGCAGGAACAGCTGCCCCAGGAGGGACAGGTTTGCTGAGAGAGGCCTGCATGGTTGCAGGTGGGTGGCTTTGAGGAGAGTGACCTCCGCTGAGGGAGGTCAGTGAGGAGAGGCCCCAGAGAGACAGGTCATGGGCAGGCAGGGAGGCTGCTGCCCTGCAGAGGGAGAGGGTTGGTGAAAAGAGGAAGCTACTTAGGCACAGGTGGGCAGACGGAGTGCTCTCCGGAGCCTGTGCAGAGATTGAATGGATATAGTTGTCTTCTGTTTGGGAGGGATTCGCCCCTTGTGAGCCTTCGGGTTAGCTGCTGATTCTGGATAATTATGTAGAATCTGAAAGTGACCAGAGATTCTACAATAGGCCCAATTCTACAATAGGCCCAATCTCCATATCTTTATACCTGCTTGGGTGTTATGCTTTGTAATCTGGGCATTGGAGACTGAGGATCTTGTTTCCATAGCTGTGTCAATGGCTATGCTAATCCCTTCTACCCAGGCCTCCAGCTCTTGGCATTTTGTGAGCCAGGTTTTTGGTCTTGTGGACACCTCTTTTTCAGTTTTTCTATTCTTGTCTTACCTTACCTTTTCTCCATTTTATGCAAATAGATTTGTGAATCTGATCTTTGTGCCTGTGTAAGGAATTCAAGCAAGTATCTGGAATCAGGTCTTGGATAATTTAAAAATTTGGTATTTTTCTGCTTTTTATGTTTTAGTCAGATACCTAACTCAGTATTTACCAGTCACTGTAATAATTGGATGTAAAGTAAGCTGAAGAGAGTGTTCTCCACTTTAAGGAGGTGTTTTCTTCCTCTAAATTTGCAGGCTTTTTCTGATCACGTGCTGAGACTTCTGGGATCAGGCTCAGATGGTTTTGTCAAGATTACTTTGGACTTTCTAGTTAGCTATAAAGGAAGCTTGCTAGTTGGTTGGAAAATTTCTAAACTTCTTATTGACCATAAAATTTTAGGTTTCCTTGAAAATCTAAGTCTCTTAAAGTAATCAATTTACTAATCAAACTACATAGTAGGTTTCTGTAAATAATATTCCTTATCAAATTTCTAGTAAGAATCTAAGAACAAATAAGCTGCCAAGTTAAGATCTTAATTTGCCTCTTCTGCTGTCCTTCTCGTGGCCCATGTATATCTCATGGCCCATGTTCTATCTTTCTTAGGACCAGGCCTCATCCGTGAGGTCAAACAGAAACTAGGACTCTGTGAAGCAATTTGAGTTTTCTATGCTTGTCTTTAAAAATGGTTCCATAGGAACAATGAACATAAAAGAAATCAGTTTGTTCATAGGTTTAGCTTATCATTGACAGGGCAGTGATTTATGTCCAAAATACATCTGGACCTAGCTGCATTCCTAAGTAGACAGGTTATTAACTCTTTCTATATTCTTGTACTAATTACTACTACTATTACCTACTTATGTTTACTCATAATTAATTGTCATAGGTAAATTTATATTATAATGTAGTTAATATCAAAGGTACTAAAGTTAAGCACATAATAGAAAGATTATTAAACTACAATTCTATTATAACACAGTGTTTAGTAATGTTTCATTTGCATTATCCTAATTATTAAATTACGTATGCTTTTTAATTAGCAATCAATGACCAGAAAAAGGAAAGATTTTAGAGAGACAGTTGTAGCAGAATAAAGTTTATGGGCCTTGAGAAAGCGAGATAAGGTTCCAGGTGGTCAGCATTTCTTTTAATCATCTTTGTGGCAGCTTCTGGTGGTCGTTATCTCTTGGCAGGCATTTGGCTTCTCTGCATTTTAGGGAGTTTGCTGTTCTCCCCCTGCGCGCATGGTTCCTTGCCCACGCCGGACCTCAGGGACCATGGCAACAGCCATTAGCCCTGAGGGTCACTGCAGGGGGAGGTGCAGCACTACAGAACACTTGAAGAAAGATGGACTGGATTATGAATCTGGAGGACACCGAACAATGATGTCAGAATAAGCATAGTTGATTGCAATTGTTCTGCAGTATGGATGTAACAACTAAATTCCTTGTGGTACTCAAAGGCTCATAAAAAATAACTTGTAGTATTGCATAATCCGGATAAGTGTTGAAATAATTCTGTCATCT